AAAAAGGCACATGCTGTTGTGTGGGTGAATGTGAACCCAGAGGGCACTGCTTGGTGAAATAGCAGCCGCCAAAGCACATGTTCCGCAACTGCTATGACCCTGCTGGTCCAGGGCTTGTCAAACTCAAACTCACCGAGAGAGAAAGTAGAATGGTGCCTCCGGGGCCTGGAGAGGGAAAGGGGCTGCTTCGTGGAGGCAATGCAGGTTCTGAGGGTGGAAAAGCCCTGGAGAGCTGTCTCACAACTATGAGAATATACTCAGCAAGAGGCCGGGCAGGCTCCGTGACAGAACACACACTGAGCATGTGCATGACCTTGGGTCCATCATTAGAACCCACACCAACACACCACACACACACACACACACACACACACACACACACACACACACACACACACACAAAGTGGCCTTGATGGCAAAAATATGAGGGGGGAAAAAGCGAACATTTGACTCCAAGACATATACTGGGAGAAGATACAGAAAAACACAGGAGATGACGGTCTACAAGCCAAAAAGGACCCTGCAGGTCCTCATGCAGCCCTCAGAAGCCAGTCTTCAGGATTTGTGTTTCCACCAAACCCACAGGACAGGGCCTCCCCTTCACAGTGCTGGAGCAGGAGGAAGGCCTCAGGGGAAGGGTTAGGGCCTTAGCTCATCAGAAAGGGACCCACAGAGCCCACTCATGCCCCACACATTAAAACACAGGGAAGGCATCTTCTGTGAACCAAGAAATGGGCTCTCTCCAGACCTGAATCTGTGAGGGGCTTGGCCTTGACCTGCCAGCCTCTAGAACTGAAAGGCACCATTTCCATACTGCCTAAGCTGCAGCTGTTTGCTCTGGCAACGCCAAAAGGAGGCCACCACCGCTTCTGGTTCCTTCTCACTGGAGACCTCTGGTTTCAGAAGCGTAAGGCACCACATTCCTGTTGTTTAACTCGGAAAGAAAGAAAGAAAGAAAGAAAGAAAGAAAGAAAGAAAGAAAGAAAGAAAGGAAGGAAGGAAGGAAGGAAGGAAGGAAGGAAGGAAGGAAGGAAAGACAGAAAGAAAGAAAGAAAGAAAGAAAGAAAGAAAGAAAGAAAGAAAGAAAGAAAGAAAGAAAGAAAGAAAGAAAGAAAGAAAGAAAGAGGTGGAAGTCCACAGCTCCTCATCCCATCCTGCAGCCTAGCTTACTCTGTTTTCCTAGCCCAGTCCAGAGAAGTTCTTCTCTGTTGAAAACCAGAGGCCTATAGCCACTGAAAGCCAGATGCCTGCCTGTCCACGCCACAGCAAAGTCGTCTGCTACCAAAGGCCATCTGGACACCTACACACGCAAAGTCACCAGTGTCACAAGCCTAAGGAGAAGAGCAGGATGGAGCCACTAGCTGGCTGAGAAACAAGAGAGAGAGCCCAGGTCTGTACTAACACTGTGGCCTTTGGGTGTAGGAGACAGGCCATGGATGAAACCAGAGCAGAAGCATGTGGAGAGGGGCCATCTAGAGGACAAGAATGACCTTGGACATGGAAAGTGTGACTGGGCAAGATGGATACTCAGTGGGAGGCTCGTCTGGAGCTGTTCCTACTCTCAACCCACTTTGTGTGGCAGGACTGCACACCTCTCTCTCTCTTGTAGCACTGTGCGGTCACGGTTCTTCTTGCTGGAGTAGCGTCTGCTCTGCTGATGACACTGGCTGGAGGCATATGCACTCTACACGTGACACACAGACACGAGGCCACATGCTATGCCCCTTGTGTTTGTGCAGCAACCTCAAGAAAGGCAGGGACAGAAGACCTTTGAGAGTGAGAGGCACATGCAGGACAATCAACCTAGCCACTTCTGACCAAGAAATGGGAAAATGTAAGTTCAGAATTCATTTGGAGATACTCATTACACAGCATCACTACCACAAGCACTAACTAACTGACATAGGATTGAAAGCAAAGCACCACTGCAAAGATGCACCTAGGAAGCCACGAGAAAGCCAGAGAATCATTCCTGTTGGATCAACTTGTGGTGAATAAAACAAGAAAGAGAAAAGAAAGACACATACACATGCACATGCACACATTCTGTCCCCAGAGATGGAGGAGGCAGCCTTAGAAGAAAATATTATGCTGACATTTCAGAACACTGGCAAGAGGGAAAAGATCTTAAAAATTTTTGAAAATGAAGCTGGAGAGATGGCTCAGTGGTTAAGAGCACTTCCGTTCAGTTCCCAGTACCCACACAGTGGCTCACAACTGTCAACACCAGTTCCAGCAGATCCAAAGTTTTCTTCTGGCCTCCACAGGCACCAGGCACGCACATGGTGCACAGACATATATGCAGGCAAAAACATTCATACGTATAAAATACATAAGTCTTAAAAAAATAAAAACCTCTCAAAGATAAAAACGGCACAGGGGTGGTGCTACATACAGATGCCTAGCAACACACAGAAAAACCAGAGCATGCACGGAGAAGCAGAAGCCTGCATGTCTATGGCTTTACACAGTCGCACTGGAAGCTGATAGGGAGAGGCCTTAAAAGGCCTGAAAAAAATTCTCTCCTAGAGTTTTTACCTAACTAAAGTGCTGTACAAGTATGCAAAGTCATTTCCACACCTTTGAGTCTCTAAAGCCCTCCCCCCCCAAAAAAACCGTCAACATCCTCTAAATCCTTGTGAATGAAGTGGCTAGATGGTATGCTCTGGGAGTAAACAGAGAAAGAGAAAAACCAAGGGCTAAGGAAACAAGGAATCCTGAGATAGACAAGGAAGGCCTTCACGGGGCCCTGAGGACAGCAGACCAGCGGGAACAGGAAACCCAGGACAACCAGGAGAGAATGGAGCTTTCAGATGATCTGACGTACCTCTCAGTACCTAGAGCCATAGATGTGGCTCATAGAAGGTTCCGTAAAAGAGAGTTAATCCAATTATTATCCCCGAGGAAAAGCAAAAGGCTGAAGGAGAAAAGCAGCAGCAGTGGTCTGGAGAGACGGCTCAGTTGTGGTTAACAGCACTTGTTGCTCTTGCGGAGGACCCAGGATCGATCCCTGGCACCCACATGCTGGCTCACGACCATCCACAACCCCAATTCCAGGGATCCGACAGGCACACATGCAGTGCACACACACCACGCTAGCAAGACAGTCATATACATAAAGTAAAAGAAATCTGAAGGAGGAGGAGGAGGCCGGGCATGCTGGCACATACCTGTAATCCCAGCACTCAGGAAGCAGACGCTAAAGGATCTCTGTGCATTTGAGGCCAGCCTGGTCTACAGAATGAGTTTCAGGACAGCCAGGGCTGTTACACAGAGAAATCTTGTCTTGAAAAAACAAACAAATAATTTATTTTAAAGAAGAAAAGGAACGTTACCGTGTCCATGCCTTAGCTGTGGCGACACTGCCACTGCCATCCTATAGTTGGACACTGGAGCCAAGCATGCCAGCGCGTGCCTGCAACCCCAGCATATGGGACACAGAGACAAGAGGATCTCTCTGAGTGCCAGGCCAGCTTGGGCTGCCTAGTGAGACCTCGTCTCGGGAAAAAAAAAAATCCAACTAATGCTGGAAGCAAATCTAAGAAGCCCGATTGGAGGCTGAGGGCAGGGCACTGTGGGTAATGGCATATGAGGGTCAGAGCCCCAGCATGGAGGTAAACACCAGGTTCAGCAGTAACTGGAGA